GGGGGGGGATAAAGAGTAATTGTAATGATGGGACTGGGAAATGATTAAATGAATGTGTGTGATAAGCTGCTGTGTATATGTGATTAATCCAGGATCACAGCGCTGATGTTTTGGATGGCTTCCTCTTTGTTCATGTTTTGTCCTTTCTTTATCTCTCCCTTCCTCTCACACAGGGTTTCTTTGTGTCAGTATTTTACTGCTTCCTAAACAGCGAGGTAAGCAGAATCACACCGCCTTATTGATTTAACATTTTAAAGCCCCCACCCCCTTTTGCTTTAGACACTTATTTATATCTCCCCGTCTTCAGGCGGCTCCACTCGCCGTTTCGGTGGCTGCATGTTGCTGTGTGTGTTTTTTTTGCAGGGAGCAGAGTGATAAAGCTCGAAGCACTTATATTCAGGGCATAATTAAGACTTGTCATGTGCCGACATAAGTGACATCACTCGCTACACTTTATGACAGTGTCAGCCCTAATTTGGTTTCATGGCGAAATCAGGGGTGAAACCCTCTGAAAATAGAACTCCAGTATTAATATGCAAGCACGGAGGAATGCTACTTTATGTTTGATATGCTCATTGTTTAATATTAATATTAGTCATAGTTTTAGCATTTTAATTGGTATCTGCTCCATAGAAAAAATCACATTTAACACATTTAAGTCTTTGCACATTTTAAGCAGTAAGTAGTAACAAATGTATAAAGTGTTGCTCCTTTCCTGTTCCTTCCTTCCTACAAGAACAGTCCTCATTGCCTCTTTGCACCATCTGCAGATGTTTCCTCGTGGCTTACGAGCGTGCTGGCAGTTGTTTCTCTGTTTCTTTTACACGATACAAGCAGAACAAAATAGATAGCAGAAGTGAAACAGATGCTGCAGCTGAGGCCGGTGAGCTTTAGGCTGATACAGATCTGTCAAATCAAGAAAGACTATATTTAGAGTGTGCAGCCCTGCTAGCAGCTATGTGGTGCTTTGCAGATCAGCACAGTGGTGCCTTACTGCTAACACCAGCATGCTAACCTGCTGATGTTCACTGTTTATTTCAGGGCATGAGCGTTAAACACAAAGTCCAGCTGTGGCTTGATGTTTTGAAGGTGAACTGATGATGAAACTGGCTTAAAGGGGGCGCTAGATGATTCCTATGGGAATAAAGAACATCTGTACAGATTAGCTGTATTTACTGTAATAGGTCTAAATACTGTTTCTAAATAAATTTTAAAAAAAGCAAAACGCAAGTAGTTCAAACAGCAACATCCCAGCAGCTGTGCCTAAAACAGACACGTTAACGACCAAGTCAAAACTGGTTGCTGTATATTAGTTTTGACAGATGCTGACCTTGTTTTCATTTACAAAAGAGGTTCAGCAGCAAATATCTGTCAGATCACTGCAATGAAGAAATCTTTATGTTTTTACTAAATGGGTGTAAATAGATGGCTACACAACGTGGACCTTGTTTGGTAGATTACAAACATGTCTGGGATGTTTTTTGCTGAAAAACATCAGCAGCTCATGCACGACTCCGACTGTACCTATTTATTGCATCATGACAGCTGTAACGTTTCAAGCACACCTGCACTTGATCAGACGAACTTTCTTGTGTGCACTGTCACAAACATCGCCCCCTGTGCCCCGATGTCAGCATTATAAACCCATGGTGTGGCTGAATTACTGTCAGGATCAGTTAGCTCAGCAAGTAAAAGACTCGGGAGAGAGGCTGACAGTTTAAGTTGCTCGTGTGGGGTTTTGTTCTCGACTTTCTTAATCTAAAGTCCAACATGGACATCGAGGCAAAGTTCAAGGAGCAGACAGCGAGGCTTCATGCCCAAACTTGACAGATCTTCTGTGTTTGAACTACTGCATGTTTTAGAGCTAATGTGACTGCTGGACGACCTCAGTGGGTTTTGTAATACTATTTTGGCAGCTACATGGAGCTGAGTTTTGCAGAGGGAGAGAGATGTTGGGTGGATAACTGTAGATATTACCTGAAAAACATTTTTAGATTGAACCACCACTGGCAGTTTCTCTGTCTTGTCTGAAAAACAGAATCAGAGATATTGTAGGCTCGACATTATAGTTGGTTGTTCTGGTAAAGGGGAATTTGTGTTGTTGGGTTTTTGTTTGTTTGTTTGTTTTATTTTATTGCCTAGAATAAAACAGAGCAGACAAAGCATTCTCAGTCAAGCTTCAAGGATCCTGATCGCTTTCTCAGCCGACTGGTCTTTGGGGAAGACAGCTGATGAGAAGTGTTGTTTAATTAATTTTTTTTAAACAGGCTTTGGTAATTCTATTCCATGCATGTGGAGTAGAAACCCATTTTGTAACCAATTTAGTTTTCAATCAGATGTTGCTTTAAAAAATTAAACCTGGCATTTTGTTTCTTTATTGGAATACTAGAGTAACTGGGCGATAACAACAATGTGTACAGTTCAAAATTTAAAAGCAAATAGTAAGAAGAGAGCTGCCCAAAAAATGAGTATTAAAGTATTGAAATCTTTAGGTACACTCAAAGCAGTTTGTGGCACAACCTCTTCCTCTTCTTTATGAGAGAGAGGATAGCTAGCGTTGCATTATTAGCTTTTGATTTTGCCTTTGTGTCCTCAGCCCAACTTGAAACTGAATATTTTTTGTGTCATGCTGAACAATTTTAGGCCACTTCATTCTGTTTTTGTCCTCACTGTGAGCAGATCACCTTAAATTACCAGCACTGAGAGGCATTAATAAATTGGTGGCTGTGGCTCAGGTGGCAGAGCACTTGTTGTTTGATTGCAGGTTGAGTGATTTAATTCCTGGCCTTGGACTCAATAGATGGCTTTTAGGCCGTTCACTTCTGTAATCAATATCGAGCTACGGTTAATTGAAAAGCAAACTGTAGTCTCTTCTGTCAGAGAATGCAGCTTTTAGCAACTCAGATTTTCTCTGGTTTTGTTGTAAATTTTCGTGTTTGCTTATTGAAGCAAAAGGTTGAACACTTCAGACTTTTTTTCTGGCATTTTGTGAACTAAATGATCATTTATTAAGAAAGCAAGAGAAAAAAAATGACAGGTTAATGAAAAAAATATCTGCAGCTCCTGTAATATGAAAAGTGAAATGCGTGTGTGTGTCACGGGCTGCGATGGCAAAGACCGTGGAGTTACAGTGAAAGTAGGGCCCAAACGTGAGACTCTTAGTGAAGGACAGTGGATTTATTGACAGGGGTGGAAAACACACAACTATATACAAAATCCCAGCACTGTGGTCCCGTGGCGATTCTCCCTGAATCCCACACAGTGCAGATGTTCATGAAAGGTGAAACAGTGGCGACTCCAAAAACTCCCACACTCTGCTCCAGATTCCTGGTAACATAGACACATACAGGTTAGCAGGGAATCTACGTTCTCGAAGGTTTATACCAAGTCCACGGCTGTACTGACGAGTTCTGACTCAAGGATCCAGCGTCGGCCTCAGCTCAGCTACAGTCTTAAATGCCGCTCCCTTGACGAGCGTAATCTGCTGCAGCTGGCAGAGGACGACGAGCGGCAGGTGTGGCTGTCTCTAGAGCAGAAAGACTTCCAGGTTCGCAGTCTCCTCAGCACACCAAAACCTCTGGAAGCTCACACGGAAAAACATGGAGAGAAAACCAAAACACCACATGGAAAATATAAACATAAACATACACTAAATTACATGAGCCCTGGGTCCCTAGACCATGACAGTGTGGATGTAATTTTTATCAGATTTGACTGATAGCTTTCACAGCAAAGACCATCATCACAATGTGACTGGTGCCCCAAAATGACAGGAAGTCCACACCCATTAATTTAGTTTAGACTCCACATTATGAAGCCTCAGTGTTAACACTTTGGGTTTTTTTGGAGACAGAAGTGACCATATTTGCATCCTGAAACTGTATGGATGTGACACTGACACACAGACTAAATATTTCAGTTTCACTCACCAAAACTGAAGCCCAGAATTCTTGGGCTATATTTATCACACATCAAGCCGGATCATTTCTTGCTTTTAGGCTCCACAAGGCAACAAAAGCACAAACCCGATGGAGAGGTCGACTTCAGTGATGCAGATTAGACACATGACAGCCTATGGACCTTTGATGAACACACATATGGCTTATGAATGCTAATTAAGTTTGCTGTGGCGTGTTTCCGCCGAATGTTTGGTTACTAGCGTAACTGCGGTTCTCTGAAAACCAAGAGACTGCAGTTTGAAAGAGAACTCCCAAAACACCCAAAATTCAGCAAATACATCACGTGCCACCTTTTCATGTAAATAAGGTCACTTGGAAAAAATAATAATGCCAGTGTCAGCATTCAAAACCAATGGGTGATGTAATGGTGGCTATACCCACTTTAAGCTCTAAAGTTGTTTTAATTAGCCCCTGGTCGAACCTCAAAATCCCACCCTTTCGTGAACCTCGGGACCAAAAATGGTCCCGCCCCAAAAGTGCTCTAAAAATGTTATATATCAATATTTTTTTCTACTTTAAATTGGTCAGTCTTTTAGACCTACTTCTCCCTGAACTAGCCATGTAAAGTTTTAATTATATTTCGGGGGTT